TGTGTGTGTGTATATATACACAAACTTGGATACACAGTTATGTACACATATACAGAAACACACACAACTGATCACATATTGTTGGACTGCAATGTAATCATTACTTACTCTAGGTTCCTGTCAGGAAGGTTTGAAAATCACTCATATAGGGGAACTGACACTGTGTGTATGAGCTGTGCTCTACCTGTGCCCTTGAGGTGAGAGCAAGTTATAAAGGTTGATTCCTGTCCAATGGCAGGGACTCACATTACTTTACATGTTGGGAAAAGTATGCCAGATAAAAATATGCATAGAGAAAAGCTGTCACTGTAGCACAGGTACCACAGGACACGCTGCATCCTGGTGAACATTCTTAAGTCTATTCCTTTGAGTTTCATCCTAGGAGGACCTGCTGCATTCCATTTTCATGCTGTTACTTGCAAGCCTTAGGAACAAAGAGGGGGAAAAAAAGAGAGAATGCCAAATCTTATTTGATTAGATTTTCACACAAGAGCAAATCCAAGAATGTTAAGATTACAAGGATTCCTGAGCCGAATCTTCTGCTTTCTCCATAGAGAACTACATGGATCCCAAGTCCCATTGTTTTAATCCTTGTGGCAAACTGTAAGCATATCTTAAGAAATGAGACATCCTCGACAGGTTAACGCGGAGACTCATACCTGGTCAAAGTGCTAAGAATAAGTGATTGTTGAGTGCTGAGCCTGAAACAGGGCGTATATATCATACCCACATCTCAGGGCTTAGGGAACACTGTGGGAGAGGGGCAGAAAGGCCACAAGAGCTGGAGGCCAGGCGGAGTGCTGCGAAACACTACCTTCCTGGCATGGCATGGCTGTTGCACCTATGAACGCACAGCAGTTGTAGTTGGTCACGTGCACAAGGCCTGCACAAGATGGGGCCCACCTATGTTCAGTCACAGATGGGGGAGAGGCTTACAAGGCCTCACTACTCCCTGAGAACCTACCTGCAGTTAATGATTGCTGGGAGAGGGGTAGTCATTTTCTCCAGTGCTGCTGCCACTGGTAAGTTGCCCTTGCTCCAGTACATAAACCGCAACCCATGCTCATACAAACAACCCTAATTACACTCAGCAGGTCACACACACACAAAACACACAAAACAAAAACAGGAAAAAGGCCCGACAATAGGAGGGGGTTTGGGGGGAGGAAGGAGTTCTGTAGGAGTGATAAAGGAAGAGTGATAAGAGGGAGTAATGGGGATGAAAGTGATCAAGTACATTATATACATGCCTGCAATCATCAAATAATAAAAAATGAAAGATCACCCTCATGGGAGTAGCCAGCCGCTCTTCCCAGCCAATTGTATGTAATTTGGCCCTAATCACACATGGTCTCCTGGATTTGGGGATGGCTAAAGTATATAACCTGGGGAAGGCTAGGAAGAGAAGGCTTGATCCATGTTGGGTAAAGGCTTTCCCGTGTGCATACCCCAGGTCACTCATACACCTTAGTAACCCCTCAGTCATCTCTGTAAATAAGTTCAGTAAATCATTGGTTCTCCAGAAAAACTTCAGTCTAACAGTGGTTTGACACTAGAACCTTAAAAGGGGATAAGCATTGCTTAGTATCCCAAGTTAAAGAATTCTCACAACAGATGGAAATTTTATTTGTTAATGTTATTATGTCTCATAATTATGCTAAAAAAGAAAATGACAGTATAAAAGATAGTAAAAGGATATGGGAATGGAGATATTTTACAAAATAGAAAAAATGAGAAAGCCTAAGCAAGTGATGAAGGTCTGTGTAGGCTTGTTATGATATATAAAGGATGAGACAAAAATAATATACACATAATCTTAAATTTTCTAAGGTCATAGTTTAGTCAACTAGTTTAAGGAACAAAATATATATCTAGTTAAGGTTTATCTGAGAACGTTTGGTCTTTGCTCAAGCTTTATCAACATAGCACATGGTAACTAAAAGTACCAGACTGGTAGAACTAACCTTCTTGGTTATCAGCCATACTTTGAGGCCTATACTAATCTGGTTGGATGGACTTAAAGGACAGTTTTTGCTCCTTGCCCTCCAAGGTCAACTAGGTTCCAGGGGACTATGGAACATCTCTTAAAATGTTCTGTAACTGTGGTGAGTCACCTGTCCTCTTGTTCAGGGAGGCCATGGAGACCCCACAAGATATACTTGAACAAGTGTCCATTCTACAAAGAGGAGGGTCAACTCAGAGGAAACATTTCCTCCATGCTTCCAAGTGAAGCCAGCAATGGTCAAGCAGGACTTTGTCTTATCATCACAAAGATAGAACTGGTAAAAGATAGGAGGCAGGAGTTCCTCCCAAGCCCATGTGACCCCTGAGGAACAGATCCTCAAACGACCTTAAGAGTAAAAATAAATTGGTTTATTTGGACCAACTGTACGGTCTTAAACAAAGGAAAGTGCAACCAAAGATTAAAGTGATCAGTATATTTAAGAGTTCAAGGGATCACACTTCCCAGATATTAGACTTAAGTCCATATAAAATGTTAGACAATTATTTCTCATTGATGATTTTGTTTCTACACAGAAAGTGCTGCTCAGATGTAAGACTTCAAATCTTGGTCTGCAATACTGTAGTGCCCACCTGTAGCTAAGGGAGAAAACCCACTACTGTTTTAAAATGATGGCTAAACTTGTTTTCTCCCCCTATCTAGAAGCCTTTGAGAGGGAACTGACTCTGATTCGAGCCACTCCAACAGCTATCAAAGTGCCTGAAAACAAGTCCTGAGTTCATCACTCTCAAGTCCAGCCTTGGAAGACAAAAGAAAAATGAGGAGGAACCCAATGGAAAGATGCTTTTGGAAGCTCTCGTCAAGAAATTCCAATGGACTCTTACATGAACATTTGAAACTTGGCCTGTTTTGACTTCTTTCTGGTTCCCCATCTAGAACCTGCAATGCTAACTACTTTTGCCTTTACTTTTCCTTCACATCTCCTAGGCACTAGTCAAGGACTTTCTTTTCCCCCTACAGATAAGAGTTATGCAATTTTGGAGTCTTTTAGATAGACCCACTGAAGGGGTACTCCAATGCCTCACCTTGCGTCCCTGTTCAGCACAGAAGCTGGAGCAGTCTGCATCCTGATTCCCTATTAGCAATTTGGGTAACCTCTTCAGAGGATGGTGTGATAAGAATAGGAGGTAGGAATTGGCTAGGCAGTTAGGGTAAAAAGATCCCAAAGAAAAGCAGCCAGTTTCTTGGCTAAAAATCAAAATGTCCTTGGGCCTCTTAGCAACATACTCTGTTCCAAAGGCCAAAAACACCAATATTTGGGAGCTCTTATCTAATCTGTACACAATTTTAGGGTTACCTCTTCAGAGGGGGGAATGTTAGAGTAGCAAAAAGCCAAAAGAGTACATGAAGTTGTTCAGGAAAAAGTGATGGGGCGATATGGGAAGAGCTGGAGGGGAGGGAGTGGGTGTGGATTTGATCAAAACACCTTATATGCATGCATGAAATTCTCAATAAATTTCTTTAAACGTTAAAACAAATTAAAAATCAGATATCAGATTTCTGCAACTGTCAAAATAGCTGATTTCAGAAGGAAAACGTTTGAGGAACAGAAGAGCATGAAGGGCAGCTGGCCGCAGAGCACTTGTTTCTGAGGTGTCTCGATGGAAGGAAGAGGTGTTACCTTCAGTCCACTGTCTTAAACAAAGGGAGCTTAGTTGAATACTTGGCTTGGTTGGGAAATTCAAGGACAAACTTAATGCATTTTTTTTCTATACAGTTTTGTTGGAGAAAAAACTTTTTAGTACAGTATTTAATTTCTGAAATAAGCAAAATGTAAAAACGATTATATTGTCTGACCAAGAAAGGACCACTCCTGAGAACTTATTCCCAGAATGTAATTCAAAAAGAAAACCAACACTATGTGCAGCCTCTCTCTTCCTCCCTCCTCTCTTTTTCGCTCTCTGCCTCTGTATGTGTTTATATGTATAGGGGGAGGTTCAAGGAATGGAACCCAGGGACTTGTGTATGCTGGCAAACAACCCAAGATGTACAGATATTTTTATTTTTGGAGAGGATCTCATTATGTATCCCCGGCTGGCCTGAAACGTGCGATATGGACCAATCTGGCCTTGATCCCACAGAGATCTGCCTGCCTCTTCCTTCTGAGTGCTGAGATTAAAGGTGTGGACCACCACAACAAACATGCACATATATTTTTTAGTTAGTTACCAATGTAAAACACAGCAATAGTAGCAAGTATCCAAAATACTTGGCAAATAGCTAAATAATGTTATATGAATTAGTGCTATTATGTTAGTTACAGTGGTATCATTTGATAAGTAGAAATTATATTTCAAATTCAACATCAAAAACTACAAATAAAAATTCCAGTATTCAATAATTACATTTTTTTTTTGAAATTTGTTATTCCTCCATATGGTACTGGACAAGGGACACCTTTTTTCTGTACTAAAATGTCAATGCCAAGTCTTATATTTCACTCTGGTGAAGAAAAAAGAGCTTACCCTTGTATCTTCTAATGGTGGTGGTGTGCTTGCTTTCATTATACAATAACCTCTACAAGATGCATAAATATTAAACACTAATTTTAAAAAATAGAAATCAGGATGGCTGACTAAGCAGTGTACTTGCAACAACTTGTAAAACAGGAACTGATAAACACAGGTACTGTTTCTTTCCTTTTGCTTTTACTTCAAAGTTTTTATAATTAATGTTGTTTTTATGATGAGATGGAATTAAACCCTTTTAAAGGGAGTTTGAATGTTCCTGATGGCTACATTGCTTTGTTACATTGAGACTAGGTAATGATTACATTTTGCTTCAAACTTCAGCATTAAGACTGCACTACATGTACAACTTCATAACCTTACTCTCCTGGGTATTTGTGTTCTCGTTAATAATTAAATTCAGGGGCTGGAGAGATGACTCAGAGGTTAAGAGCACTGGTTTCTCTTGCAGAAGACCTGGGTTTGAATCCCAGTACTCACGTTAGTTAACAACTGTTGGTAAATTCAGTTTCAGGGGATTTGATGCCCTCTTCTGGCCTTCGAGCATACTGCATGACATGGATGCCTTTACATACATGCAGGCAATACACTCATACACATAAAATAAATGAACAAATAAAAAGTAATTAAATTCAGGGGCTGGAGAGACGGCTCAGTGGTTAAGAACACGAGCTGCTTTTGCAGAGGACCTGGGTTCTGTCTATAGCATCTAGCACCCTCACAGTGGCTAATGGCTGATCATAACCCCAATTTTAGGGGATCCAACACCATTTTTTAACCTTCATAGGCATTGATGGCATGAGTGAGCTTATATATATGCAGGCAAAGCACTCATACACATAAAATGAAATAAATATTAAAATAATTAAGTTCAACCTTTCCTATTTATTTAATCACTATTATTATCTTATCACAATTATGATTTTATAGTCTTAAAATGAAGAATTCGCTGAACAGGGTTATGAGATGAGAGAAAGCCTGAGAGTCATTACTTGACACATGGGAAGGGTCACCCTGTCCGACTAGCCTGGGGTTAAAGCAGGCTATGCTTCTGGCTGGAAGAGCTTAGGAAAGGTGACAGGTTACTATAAATAACTCGGTAATTTATTTATGCAACAGAAAACTGCCATAAATCTTGGAGGCAGAAAAAGTGGATCTGCTTCCTGTTTTATCTCTTCTAGTGTTTCTGTTATTATTATTATTACTTTATTTTTACCTCTCTCCATGATACAGAACAGGAACCAGATAGCCTTAAGATGAAGACTTCTTACTTCTAGGATACAGGCAAGGAAGGTGTGTACTTTCTTGTGGGCTCATAGCACCTGTTACACCATGCCAGCTGTTCCTGACTCTAGTGATAGATGGCAAAAGAAGGATTGGAGCGGCATGGGACATAACGTACCTGAGGGATGTGACCAAGGCTCTTTTTCCCTTTATTGGTAGGTAACTCGTAAGGACAAACTTCAGTATATGACTTAGTCACTAAAAGAACTGGGCCTGAGGACTCGCCATTATTGAGAAGACATAGTTACCAGTGTTCAGCAGCTGGAATGCCCCAAGCCTCTCACTGGGCCAGAAAGAGGATCTGATCTCTCTCAGATAAGCAACTCTGGCTCAGAGCTATTATTTATGAAGGATGAGCACCTCAAATCATCCCAATATGCCATATCCATGCTACTGCCCTGGGTTTCATTATGGAAGGCCTATCTTCTGTCAAAATAATAGATGGTAGGTGGGCATACCTGGCAAAGATTATTAGTTCTATTTACAAGAAGAAAAATGTAAATGGTCCTGAAATAATAATTCCTCCTCCTCCTCCTCCCCCTCCCCCTCCTCTTCCCCCCTCCTCTCCTTTGAAAATTTCATACATGTATACAATGTATCTTGATGACATTCACTTGTCCTCCTACATTGCAACTCCACTTGGGACCTGTGCCCTCCTTTAAAAATTTTTCATTTAGTTAATTATGTTTTCACTGTCTGAGTCCACTTAGTGTTGACTATATGCACATGGATGTTACCCACTGAGGCATGGGGAACTTAGCAGTGGCCACACCTCCAAATAAAAATGACTCTCCCACCCACTCCAGCAGCCATCAACTGCCAATAGATCCTTGGCTAGGGGTGGAGCCTTTCTTCAGAGGGCTTACTGCCCATGTGAAGGGCTGACCTTGCAGTCAGGAGGAATATTAGGATTACTGGGCTGCCGCAGCTGGCTTGGACAGCTAGTCAGAGAGAAATAGCTGAAGACACAGGAAACCTAATTCTTACATGTGGCCCAGAGCAGGCCCCAAACCCTCTTCCATTGGTTCTAACCCCATTCTCTGCTTTCTCTCCAGAGATACTGCATTACTTTCTCTTGAGCCAGTTGACTGTTACATTTTAGCTGTTAGTCACAGGAATCCACCCCCACTCCCCCAGACAGGATGATACTATGTAGCTTAGGCTATCTTCAAAGTTAAGACCCTCCTGGGGCATCTTCCTGAGTGCTGGAATTATAAGCATGCACACCACATCCAGCACATGAATCATTTTAATTCTCATAATTAAAACACAACAGCAGCTTTACCTGGAGTTTTATCCTCTCAGTATGGTTTTTCATCTTTCTTCCTCTGGTTTCTACCTTCTACCCTGCTTTCTCTCTTGGAACATTAAAAAATTAGGTCTGGGGTGGGGTCTTCAACTATAAGAAGTATGCAATTTAGCAGTAGCCAATCACGGTATGCCATTTCTCTGGCTATAGTGATGGGTTAGCAAGTCATATGACCCAAAAAGGACCAATGTGAAATCCTCCTGGGGGTTTTTTAATCTGAGCTAAGATGGAAAATTCTTTTTTTTAAAGACAGGGTTTTACTATGTAGCCCTGGCTGGCTTGGAACTCACTATGTAGAGCAGGCAGGCCTCAAATTCACAGAGATTCAAATGCCTCTGCCTCCAGAGTGCTGGGATTAAAGGTGTGGACCACCACACCCTGTGGAAAATTATTTTTTTAAAAAAACAAAAAACTGCTGGGCGTGGTGGCACTTGCCTTTAATCCCAGCACTCGGGAGGCAGAGGCAGATGGATCTCTGTGAGTTCGAGGCCAGCCTGGTCTCCATAGTGAATCCAGGACAGCTGGGGCTACAGGGAGACCCTGTCTCAAAAAGACAAAAAAAAAAAAAAAAAAAAAAAAAAAAAAAAAACACCAAAAAACCCCCCAAAAAACTGATTAAGGCTGGGAACATAACTTAGTGACAGAGAGCATACTTAACACGCCGAAGGGCCTAGTCTTATCCTAGATAAGACAAAAGAAAAAACAAGCCTGTATAAAATACAGAATTTTTATATCTATCAAAAAGTAGTAAAAGGGCTGGACAGATGGTTCAGCGGTTCACCCACATGGCAGCTTGCAACCATCTATAACTCCAGTGGGTCCAATGCCCTCTTCAGACTTCCACAGGCATTACTTGACATGGGTGTACTTACATATGTGCAGGCAAAACACCCATACACATAAGATATAAATAAATACAAGTAAAGATAATGTGCTGGGCATGGTGGTGCACACCTTTAATCCCAGCACTCAGGAGGCAGAGGCAGGTGGATCTCTGTGAGTTCAAGGCCAGCCTTGTCTACATAGGGAGTTCCAGGACGGGATACAGGGAGACCCTGTCTCAAAAAGACAAAAAAAGGTAACATAGGAACTTGCATGTACTCAACACACATTCCAAAGCTTATTCCCCGCCCCAAAAAAGGTCATCTTGAAAAAGTTATGATTTCATACTGGGATGTTGGCCCTAAAACAAGGGGGTTGACAACCGACTATCCTGCCTCTGCATAGGGTGAACCTGATTTTAAAATAAACTCAGAGTTGTGGTGGAGCCTCTCAGTTCAGCTGAGCCTGGAGCTATGGCCACCTCTGTATTTCTTTTCACTTGAGCCAGATTTAGGTGGATTTCTACCTCCTGCAAATAGAATTGTAACAGGAAAATCTCAAAGACACACTCCATAAGCAATTTTTTTTTGTCTTTTTTTTTTTTTTTGAGACAGTCTCCCTGTAGCTCCAGCTGTCCTGGAATTCACTAGGTAGACCAGGCTGGCCTCAAACTCACAGAGATCCACCTGCTTCTGCCTCCTAAGTGCTGGGACAAAGGCGTGCGGCACCCATGCCCAGCTTCAATAAGCCATTTTTAAAATCTTATGACTATTTTTGAAATATTTGCAAAATAAAAAATTGAAGGAAAACATTTAAGAGAATAAAGCAGTCAGGCCTGGTGGCACACGCCCTTAATCCAGCATTCGCAGAGGCAGATGGACCTCTGTGAGACTGAGGCCAGCCTGGTCTACATAGTGAATTCCAGGCCAGCTGTGGCTACAGGGAAACCTTCTGTCAAACAAACAAATAAACAAACAAACAAACAAAAAACAAAAGAGAATAAAGCAATATACATAAAATATACTGAATACATAAAAATCATCAGTATTTCAGACCCATTAGATCAGTCCTTTACTAAAAATTTAAACTAAATAACATATCTAATTAAGAGATGTAATAGGGTAAGATTTTTTTCTTTTTTTTTTGGTCTTTTTGAGACAGGGTCTCCCTGTAGCCCCAGCTGACCTGGAACTTGCTATATAGACCAGGCTGACCTTGAACTCACCAGAGATCCGCCTACCTCTACTTCCCGAGTGCTAGCATCAAAGGCGTGCACCACCATGCCCATCTTCACGGTAAGTATTTTTACCTCTAAAACCATCTGACAAACAAAATAATGGAGTCTCTGAATAGACAGTGAATCTCTGACTCAGAATTATTCCCAAAGCAAAGAATGAATTAATACAATCACTGCTTCTTAGCACTGGAGCTGGCCATTCTTTGGTGTGTGATGAACTGTTTCCCAGACTCTTTCTCCTCTACTATCCACTTTGATAGAACAATATTTACCATTTTGTTTCTCTAGTTCTTGTATGATATCTTCATACACTTGTGCAAACAGGTCCTCTTCAGATTTTGTTCCATCTAGGTAAACTGAAGAAGAGAAAAATAGCAGTTTAAAAGCTAGCAGGCTTGGGGACTGAAGATATGGCTCAGCAGTTAAGAGCGCTGGCTGCTTTTGCAGAGGATCCAGGTTCAGTTCCCAGCACCCACATGGCAGGTAGCAACTGTATGAAACTCCAGTTCCAGGGGATCCGATGCCTTCTTCTGGCTTCCATGGGCATTGCATGACATGGGCACACTTACATACATGCAGGGAAAACACACATGTAAAATAAAAATAAATCAAAAAAGAATTTTAAAAGCTAGCAGGCTTATTAATAAAGTACATTTACTTTGGTAACTGGCATCTCTTCCAATGCCAGTAGCTTTCACCAAAGAACTTAGAGCCATAACTTAAGAAGAAACAAGAATTAAAGAAAGAAAGAGATCATAGCCAGGTACAAATAGGCCAAGAATTGTGGTTTGTTACAGAGGAGTCTACCAGCTCTGAAAATAAGAGGAAGGAAGGAATGAAAAAGAGAGAGATGGGAGAGAGGGAGAAAGAGGGAAAAGGACAGGGAGGAAGGGAGAGAAGTAAGGGAGAGAGAAGGAGAGCGATTGATTACTGATTGATTGATTGAGATTAAGCATTGTGCAATGGGTACATGTTGTACAGCTACTTAGCTACTTCTTCTGGATTGAAACATTTCCTTCTAGAAGGGCAGAGGCTCAGGAAGTAAAGGAAACTTACTAGGTTCAGGCAGCTCTTAAAAGTTCACAAGGTCCCCACCCAAGGTTATATAAGCAGTAACAGGGAGTTGGGAGTTGGGGTGGGAGAAGACTCTCCCATCTGCAGAACTGCCTGTAAGTAGTACAGGGAACTCCAGGGATGCAGTTTGAGATGGGCTTTTTGATGATGAAGTTGCCTTTGAGCCACGTATACTCCTCTAAGTAGTGCCCTCAAAACTTGCTGGTTCACTAAACTAGACTTGGAATAGTTTGGTCTGTCAGTGGTACTCTGTCTGGAGTAAATAGATGTTTGTTCATGTCTCTTCAGGAAAAGTCGCACAAAAGCACGTCAGCAGACTGAAGAGGTGCCAGCCTCAAAGAGTGATTTAAGGGAGCGATTCTCCAATTCATGCACTGGGATCACCTGTGAAGCTTTAAGCCCCATGTCAGTCTGGGCTCTACTACAGGTACCTGCACCAGACCGCTCTAGGTTGGGAGATACACATTTTTAATAAAACTGGCATGAACGGTTTTGGGAAAAAGTAGAAACTATCTGGGTTATGGAAAAAAAGGCCCTCTAGCCAGAATACAGCAAGGGCAGGGAGGTCTGAGAGAGCTTCCTGTGACATGTGAGCGGCTAGCAGGGGAGGAAGGAACGGCATGGCAGGGGAAGCTCTGGAGGAGGCCATCTTCGGAGGCCTTGGTATTTGACTTTAGATTTCAACCCAAAGAGCTGGAGACCAGGGAAGGTATTTAAACAGAGCGAGGACAAAGCTGAACTTGCAGGTTACACGGAGGGAGAGAGGGGTACAAGAGGGCACCTCAGCAACCAATAAGCCCAGCTAGCACTGCTGCAGCCACAACCTCAGCAATGGCCCTGGGATGGCTTGTGTCCTTTCTGACCAGATTTGAACAGAGCTATCTACCCTGGTGGCCAACAGGCTTCTTTTAGTATGGACAAACCCCCTTTTCTCTGAAAAGTATGTCAGTCTGACTCTTCTGCCTATCCAACAGCCTTATGCCACCTTTTCCACATGAGCACTGTATTCTCGGATGGCATCCTGGCTCAGGCATACATATTCCCATCACCTTCAAACTGACACATTATATCTCTCAGGCACCCCAACCTCATTTCCACCAAAACACAACTGTAGTCCTTCCTCACAGATCTGTAATCCCTTCACCCATTTTTCCTTCTGAAACTGTACCGTTTAGGTCCTGTAGGGTCTGTTGTCAATTTCCCAGCCTCCATAGCTACTTTATTTCCCAATTCTACTGAGTAAGTGTGTCCAATTCTGCACGCTCTAAATTCACCCTTCAGTCCATGAGAGACCTTACTCAAAAGGGTATGTGTCAACCACGTCCTTGCTCCAAGCCCATTTGTAGAGAACTTCCCAGTTCTTAGGATACAGACTGATTAGCCTCTCAGGGCCGGCCCCCATTTGTATCATCATCAGTTCTTCCTTGCTTTTCTCTACCTCAAACGCACCAGTTTTCTTTCAGGTGCCGCTCTTGACTTCCTGTCCTCAGGCCTTTTCTTGGTCTGGGTGGCTGAGATTTGGGCAGTCTCCCTGGTTCTTAGTGTGAGCAAGCACTTACCTGGGAAAGAGACCTGCTCAGAAGGCTCACACCTTTAATGTTGTTTCTCATGGAATGTTAGCATGACAGTAAGGACTGGGTTTGCCTTACTAGCCTGCCAACCCCACAGACAACATTCAGGCAAGGATGGTTAAATGAATGACCATCCAGACCCTGACAGCTTGACAAGAGCCACAGAAGAAGAAACCAGCAGAACCAGTTGTGGAAGAGGGGAGCCCAGAGAATGTCTGCTTGGAGAGTCCCTTTAGAGTCTCCTTGAGAAAAATGTTTCCCAAGTCATCTTTTCAGAACTTTGAGGTAAATAAGAAGGGCCTTGAAAGGAGCCAGAAAAGGTACTTACCAATCTCCCAGGTAATGTCCTTCATTTCTTGTCTATGCTTTAGGTACATGGGCCACACATGGCCATCAAAGTAACCTGGGGGATCTGGAGGCTCATATACCCTTGTGCTTGAAAAACACACAAAAAAAACTTGATGTTGATACAACATATGATAAAGCAAATTAATCATAGTCAAGACAATGGGAAAATAATTCAGATTAACTCTGAATAGGCTACTTGATTTAGACTCAGTGATAGTGAGAAAGGTAGCAAAATGAATTTAGTTCTGTAATCCAAAAATTAACCGTGTAATTCACTATCATCTATAATTATCTTTTTCTTCCAACTCTTGTTTTTAAAAAAATATTTGTTATTTTTATTTTATGTGTATGCGTGTATTGTCTGCATGGAGGTAGGTGCACTCATGTCCTGCAATGCCCAAGGAGATCCAAAGAGGACGTTCGAGCCCCTGGAACTGGAGTTACAGATGGTTATTAGCGCCATGTGAGTGCTGGCAACTGAACCTGGGTCTTCTGTAAGCGCAGCCAGTGCTATTAACTACTGAGCAATCTCTCCAGCCTCAACTCTTGTTTTTTATAAAAGAATTAAGAGATAAGTCTGAGCACAAATCATGATGGAGATAGTCACAGGCTGGTTCAACTCCTGTCCGACTGGTGTTCTTTGTAGCTTTAACAGGTTTGAAGGTTCAGGAAAACAGAGCCAAACAGGCTGACACAGCACTCTTAGAGAAGTACAAGTCTTTGCTAGAGGAGTGTTTTACTCCATGTGATGACCATTTATGGAAAAATGTCTTACTTCTGAGTAAAACAGTGAAGTTTCGCTTCATAATGTTGCTTTCCTGTTTTCCCTACTTTTTCCATTTCATAGTTTGCATGACAATGCACAAAGAGAGTTTCAAACTTACCTCCTCCTCCTCTTACATTCTTCATATGGAATGGTCAGAAAATAGCTTCTATTCCACATGGTGTCAAGTGGCCTAAGATAACAGCACATTTAGCTCACAAGGCTTCCTCCCCCCATTAGTTCAGGTTGGCATTGGAGTGGGGAGGCTTACTTATAATTAAAGAGAAGGAAGCCCTCGATGATTAAAATGGGAATCCCTTCAGGACTTCCCAATGCTGCTGGTCCCACAGAGAGCCCTGGGTTTTCCACCCAGCAGGAAATGGCTGACATCATTTTTTCCATGTTAAGCGCTTCAAGCACTGAGACAAACATAAAAGCACACAAAATTAATACAGCAAACATTGTTTTGATTTGGCTTTTTGTAATAAGTATAACCAGGGGTGCTGAAAATGCATAAAATAATACTATTTTATTGACTTTTCAAGATAACTAATGATACTTTAAATACCCAATTTTAAATATCCAATTTAAATCCTAATATTGATGTGCTGATGAAGTGCTGTGTCTGAGACATTTTTATTACTGAAAAACACAGACGGACAAACGTAAAGCATGGGTGGCAGTGTGTGCTTCCGGCTTTAAACATGTTTTACATCGATGTACTTACTGTGTGTGTGCATTGTATGTATCTGTGCCGCAGTGCGTGTGCCCCTGCATGAGTGTGGAGGCCAGAGGACTTGGAGTTGATGTTCTCCTTCTACTATGTGGGCCCCAGGGATCAAGCTCAGGTCATTAGTCTTGGTGGCAAGTGCCTTTACCTGCTGAACTATCTTGACAGCCCTCCACTTTTGACTTTAATTAAATTTATGGCTAACTTTATCACTTCAATTCTTTGGTGATGATGAAAAAAATTAAAAATTTACTCAGGGTTTTGTATAGGCTAGGCAAGTGCTCTTCTACTGAACTACATCTCCATCCAGCTAAATCATTTAAACGTATTTTATGTGCACACTAGTATACACTAGTGTGTGTGTGCGTGTGTGCGTGTGTGCACGCACGCCACAAAGTTTCTCACTGAACCCGAAGCTCACCAATTTGGCTAGACTGGCTGACAAGCAAACCCCAGAGTTCCGCTTGTCTCTACCCCCCAGTACTGGGTTTACAGGTACATGTTGCTGCACCCAGGTTTTCATATGGTTCTGGGGGATTGAACTCAGGTCTTAATGCTTTCCTGGCAAGCATTTTACCAATGGAGATGCTAATTTCTTACTAATTCCATCTCCTCAGCTGCAGATCTTTTTTTTTAAAAAAAACATTTTTGTTTTGAGGCAAGGTCTCACTTATTGCTCAGGCTGCCTCTGACCTTGCTATGTAGCCTAAGCAAGCCTTGAACTCACAATTCCCCCTAGCCTCCTAAGTAGCTTGGATAACAGGCATATAATACCACCACATTCAGAAAAAATTTAAAAATATGGACGACAAACTATCTATGGGTAAGTATGAAAGATAAATGGCTTACTGTAATGTATTCGGGAGTCCCTCGTACTTTCAATAGCCAAAGAGCTCTTACAGATGACAACTTTTGTTTGGTTTTTTGAGATAAGGTCTCCCTGTAGCCTCAGTTGGCCTGGAGTTCACTATGTAGCCCTGGCTGGCCTGGCTGATCATTCACACCCAGCTAAATCTGGACACACCTCAGCAGTGTGTCTGGCTGTAAAAGACCAGGCTAGATTCAAACTCATTGAGTTCTTCCTGCCTCTGCCTCCTGAGGCAGGTGTGAGCCACCATGCCCAGCCTTTCCAGAGACTTTTAAGATTTCAATAATTATATTTTCTTCAGTTCCAAAATTCTACATCTATTTCTTTACTGGGTCATTTAAACTTTTCTCCTTTCAAGCATATTTGCATTGTTTGATGAAATCTTCCACAACACTGCTTTAAAATCCCTGACAGGTAATTCTGACATTGTGTCCTCATATTACTGATCTCTACTGACCATTATTTTTTTTATTCAAGTTGAGATTTTCCGGACTCTTAAAATAACGCACGCCTTTGTGGTGTGTTCTGATGATGGGGTGCTGGGTCAAGAGGCTCGGGATTCTGTTTAGTCTTCTTATTTTACAGCTAGTCACCCTGCTGAGGTGTGCCCAGGTTCAGCTGGGCATGGGTGATCAGCATCCTTATGATGGTAGGTCGGAGTCACAGAGGAAAGGCTTTATTGCTGCTATGTGAAGGCAGGAGCTAAGCCTTCTACTAGGTCTTTCAGATAATAGCTGCCTGGGTGAGGAAGATGGAGTGGAACCTGCACACCTCACAGTCTCATTCGGGCTCTGCCGTCAGTAGAAGTGAAAGTTCTACTCCCTGCTGGATCATGAATCCCCTGTGATAGTACACCAGGAAACTTGCTCCAACGCTGTGTGGAGGAGGTCTAGCTCCCCACTGACCACTACAAGGGGAGCAGGATTTTCCTTTTATGTCTAGCTAGAGCACGGTGGGTATTATTTAAAGGATATTCTATTCTTGTAGGAAACTTTTGTACTGGTCTTCTGGTTATGTTTCTTGGTGTCCACTGATAGATCGTGCTACACACATTTCCTATACCCCAGGAGGGCATTTTGGAGGGAAAGAAGAATACCCAGGGAACTCATGCCACTCCTCGAGTCTCAGAGCCCTTAGCCAGCTCGCTCTTGTCTTCTCAGTCTTTCTTTCTGTGTTGAATTGTGTCCAGGGTTTTGGATGAGGGGGACCAGTAAGAGAAGTCCTAATAGTTTTGACTTTTTATTACTAAGTTGAAATATTTTAGTTGAAATATTTTCTGTTTCCTTTTAATCCATGGAGTCCATGTGTTTTGCTCCAGACAGAATGTCATGATAGGATTTGCATCAAATACAGGAAGGAGAAAGTGAGTGAGAGGACAAATGACACAGCTCAAGGGCTCATCATTTTTAGAGCTGGCCAGTGAACTCATTATACCTTTCTGCCCACTTTGTGCATGTTCAAAAATGTCTCTAAGGAAAAATAAAATGAAAAGTTGTAAGAGTACTACTCAGTTTTCAAACAGAGGCCTTTGTTACTTAGCCTCTATTTATGGAGCCGAATTTGGTTCACTGTGAGTATGGAATATCTCTGTACTCTGCAATCCACCTCTGCTGCTGCTGAGCTCATGCTCTCTATGCCAGTTGTTCAAGTGTGTTACAGATTACACTTTCTCTACTAATTCCACGAGGTACTAAGTGTCGTGAAATGTGCCCCTCTGGCAAACTTGCATATTGAGATCCTGTATGTATGAAACTCATATGTTGGATATGATCTTGTTTGGAAATACCTTAATGAGGTCAACTTATCATAAACTAAGCAGCAGGGCAGGTACTGACTGTGATACCACTGGTATCCCTTGTAAAAGTAGGAAACTTAGACACAGAGAGAAGCCATCTGCAGGTGAAGGCAGTGATTGTGGTGAGACAGCAAAGGCTAAGGTAAGTGGCACAGTTTTTAGCAAACAGATGCCAGGAGACAGGCATGGAACAGACTCTCCCTCACAGACCCTAGAGGGGGACATGGAACGTATTCTCCCTCATAGACCCTAGAGGGGGACATGGAACGGACTTTCCCTCACAGACACTAGAGGGGGACATGGAACAGACTCTCCTTCAGAGTCCTCAGAGGGAACAGGGAACACTCTTCTTCACAGCTCTCAGGCAGAACATGAAACAGACTCTCCCTCATGGGCCTCAGAGCTAACTGACTGCTGAGCCTTCATCTCAGACCCCTGCCTGCAGAGCTGTGAGACAGTCCCTTTCTGTGGTGTAAGCCATCAGTCTGTGTGCTTGGTAACTCATTTTAAACTGTTCTTTTAGTGGTTATAAAGATATTAAGAATACCTTGACTTGCTTTAAATTGCCACATTTCCAGGAAAAGTTCAAATGTTTCCTAAAGATAAGATTCCTGAATGTAGGATGCATGAGCACACTGAAGGAGGTACTTCCATGTGTCTGAGACATGTGTCTGTTTGTACTTCCATGCAAAGTGCATGAGGGTGTTTGCTTCATAGAGACCATGTCACCAGGTCATCGTCACTGTAGCAAAATCCCTTGTTTCCTTAGTAAATGGGGAGAAGGTAATTTCCAACTATTTGAGAAGTTCAAAGGCTGACATCTTTGCATTTATTAATCAAATAACCTTTTTTTTTTTTTT